ATAGATTTTTTCACATACGTTTTGGCGCAGAAAATTAATTTCTGCGCCAAAGTGTAGAAAGAAAAAACCTCTTAATAAAAAATTATCCGAATTACACCAAAGTTTGTGGGTAAGTAAAAGATGGAGTTTACAATAACTTTACTTAATGGATAAACTTCGATTTGCTTTAGTATAAAAACATGTTTCCTTGTAATATGTTCAATTCGTCACAATACCCACATTCGCCATAACACCTTATATACATATATATCAATTTTACCTATATTTTGTGATAGATTACACAAAAATCTTTTATACATAGCGCATTTAAAACCTAACGAGGAAACAATAGTACTTGATAATTTTAGTTTTCATAACGGTGAAGAACCCAATTTGAATAAATAAAGTGTCTAAAATCTATTGGCATTAACTTTCTTCTGTACACCTATTTAGAGCCTTTAAATAAATGGCAGCGAAATTTTTTGAAAAACTTTCAAATAACTATCTTGAACTTCTTGATGATAAAGAAGATTTCAATGTAATTATTGGAGTTGGAGAATCTCCAAATGCTAAAATGTTTCAAGCACATTCAGCTATTTTGAAACATCGATCTTTATATTTCCGTAATGAATTGAAAACAGCTAGCAAAGATAAAAATAATATTAAAACGATTAATTTAAAAAACATTTCTGAGCAACATTTTGAAATTATTATGAAGTAAGTTATGTATTATTTCAGCCTATATAATATATATGAAATTACTAACATTTTAAATAAAATTCAATAAAGGTATATTTATGGAGGGATAGTTTTATTGGAAAATCATGAAGCATCATTCCTTTTTGAATTAATGCTTGTTGTATACGAACTTATTCTTGAAGAGTTAGCTGAATATCTTGAAGATTTTTTAATTGAATCAAATGCTCATTGGCTTCGTCTAAATTTTGCTCGCGTTTATCAAGAAAGTTTCCAAAAGAATAGATGTTTAAAGTTACAAAAATGGTGCAATGATATTATAGTAAAGCACCCAGAAAAAGTTTTTGAATCCGAAAATTATACATCAGTTCAAGAAAATGCATTGATTTCATTGATTGAACGTGACGATTTACAAATGGAGGAAGTTAAAATTTGGAATTATATTATCAAATGGGGTATTGCGCAGAATCCTGGTTTATCATCCAATCCTGAAGACTGGTCTAATGAAAATATTTTAGCATTAAAAACTACTTTAAAAAATTGTTTACCTCTTATCCGTTACTTTCAAATCTCTGGTGAAGATCTTTATATACATATTCAACCATATCAGCAAATTCTTGAAAAAAATCTTTGGAATGATTTAGTCAAAAAACATATGGCGCCAAATTTACCAATATCATCAATGATTCTTCCACCCCGTGTAATTTTAAAAACAGAATTACCACACAGATCAACAGAACTATTTTCAAATGTTATTAACGAAGCACATGCAGCTGAAATTGCTTCATGGATTGATAAAAATGATGATACGTATTCTATATCAAATAATCCATATGAATTTAAATTACTTCTTCGTGGAAGCAGAGATGGATTTACTCGTGATTCATTTTGGAATTTATGTAATAAGCAGGAAAACTTGGTCATTGTCATAAAAGTCAAAGGCACTGATGAAATTCTTGGCGGATATAATCCCATTGGATGGGATAAAGCACGTGCTAAAAATAAAGGTTGCAAAGACAGCTTTACCTTTTCATTGAAGAATGGCACTGTCCAAAATTCTATTTTAAGTCGTGTGACAAACATAGACAAAGCAATTATTGGTGATTTTGATCGTTGTGGACCAGCCTTCACTGGTAGTCTTATTATGTATAATTCTGATCGTGATAATAGGTGTTATGACCTCCATCAAGGGGGGCATTACTATGAAAAGCCACTCAGAGAGGGATCTACATATGATCATGATGGCCGTTCATTCTTTTTAGTAGAAGAATATGAGATATTCCAGATTCATAAAAAAGCTATATAAACCTTTATTACCAAATGGTTACATGTTTAAAGGATCGTTTTATCACACATCATAAATAATAAAATTGTTTCGAACAATAATTTACATGCAAAATTTTCGTTTCTATTATTATTATTATTATGAGGTTCAAATTTTTATACAGTTAGTGCTAAGTGCCAATATTATATTTCTAATATTAGCATAATGGAACTTATAATAAAAGTTATTTGAAGGAGTGTGAAATACGTATACATACAGAGGTTAATTTTCTTATATTTTGTAATAATTGGTAAAACGAAAATAGAATTTTTTATAATTTTTTGACTATATCAATAGTGACCATATCTTTTATAATTTGTGACTTCATCAATAGTGACCATATTTTTTATAATTTGTGACTATATCAAGAATGACTATATCAAGGCTATACTGTATATTTGTAAAATAAAATATCTAAATTTTTTTTATTTTTTTCAAAATTCGTTTAGTTGGTAGCAAATTGGAAAGTTAACATGTCCAGAATTATTATCAGTTTTATATAATAAATACTATTTATTCACCGTTTCATATGACAACATGACAGGGACTCGTGTTATTAATCATTTTTATCACATTTCTTTGTCTTCATTTACATTTTTAAAATTTCGGGAATTAACAAATAAAAAGTCGGGGAGATAACTAATAAGCCTGGGGAAATAACTAATAAGAAAAAAAGAAATAGACCTGTGATCAAAATCTCCGTCATGCGATCATAGTGAGGCGGGGAATAATAGTAACATATTTTAATAGTTTAAAAATTTGCATTACGATAAATGTTTCAATCCTTGTAAAGCTACAAATAAAGTTTGTTTTGATATAAACTATAGATGCAGACTTTTTACGTCACTAGTTATGGCTCAATTGCATTTTATTTATAAATCGTTTTTTATATAGTACGTAATTAGATGGTATCATAAGTCTGCATCTATAATTTTAGAGATAATCAAACTTAGATTATATCACCCCTTCTTTTTCTCTATATGTTTTTTATACCCAGTGGAGATTTAGTGTTTATAGTTAACCTTTATTCGCAAAGCCTTGCCAATCAAGTTGAGATACTTGAAATCTCACTTTACTTAGTTAAATATGACAAATGTGTGATGCTGCTTATCATCGGTATCTAGCCTTCTGTTTTTCCTTTTTTCAGTTTTATGTTGAAAGGTTTCTTGTAAAAACCTTTCCTGCAATAGACAATGACTAATTTTTCTGATAAAAAATAAATAAAATAAAAATAAAATGCTTCTTAATTAAGTTCTAAATTACTCCGCCGGCCGATTACCAAATTACTTTGATAATTTACAGAATAAAGTCTACTTTTAGGATTTTTATGTCACAACTTCTGCGAATTCGTATTCTTAGCTCTTCTCACGTAGTAACTTCCAAGATTTTTTGAATAAGATTGGTGATATTGTAGACAGTGTTGTGAGACAATAATAAAACAACGGTATTAAGAATTAATCTAATAATAAAAGTAGTGAATCAATTTGTATATTTCCCTTTCCATCACTCAAATATAATTGATAAGTACGGGACAAGATTATTTAACATAAATATTGTTGACATAAAATATTGTTCTAATTTGTGTTGCTACTCAGCTATATACCGAGATAATTATGATTTTGTTGTTTACGCGTCTGTTACATATATCGCGTCTTATACTATCTACATAGCTACTCTCTTTTATTTACGATTTTTCATGGGCTTTTTGTATCAAACGAGTGACGGAAAGGGAAGACCTGTAAATTGATTAACAATCGTTCACTTTGTCGGACTCAGCCCCTGTAAAATAATACCACAATAATTAAATGTGATTAAATACATGTAAGGATGACAGTTCTAGTTGCTTCGATAAGATGTATTTAGAGAAATTATATGAACTGACAGCTTTTTGTTCAAAAAAAAAAGAGAATAATCAATGTGTTTTAGGAATAATCACATAACGTCAGATTCTTCAGGAGCCGAATCAATACATATCACACTTGCAGATTTCAATTTCCTGTACAATCTAGCGTTTAGTTGAGCCTAAATCTTTTTTTATTAGACATAAGTATATCGATATGCCGGAAATTCTTATATTCTAAGACTTATAAAAATAGAAATAATTATAAGAGTAAAACCCGTATTAAAATTCTAGTAACCCGTTATATACAAACGTAGATTTCACCCTCATACGATCTGCATAGCGGGTTTAACCAGATTTATCGTTTAGTGGATTTCACCCTTTTGTATTATCATTATTAAAGCCTGACCAATATAATCAGATTATAGTTATTACAACTGGAATTACAGCTGGATTATATATATATAGCTGCGATTTTCAGAAAGTCATTAAAACCAACTTGTAAAAAGTAAATATGATTCTATTTTGTTGTTTCCATACCACGCTATGCTATTTATTAACCTCCCATAGGAGTTTTAATGTGATTTAGGGCCTTCCGATAAACGATGATCTCTTATATATATTGTATAAGAGAGAATTTATGAGAGGAACAAACTAAGGTTAGTTCGTGTAAATCTTGTGCTACTATTTTTTTAAATTTAATAAATTTAATAAATTTTGTTTCACTTACAATGTATACATGTATACATCCAAAAACCGGAGTTTATAAGAATTTTTTCATAATTCAGTGCTTATATATGGACACATTTATATTACTTATTTTCTAATAACTGATAAACCGAATTTTTATTCAAATAGTTTTCAAGTCTATTGCTATGTGAATATTGAATTAAAAATCAAAGGTTGATTTTTTAAATAGTAATATTTAATAGCCACTCTTTTTGACCACTGTATAAAATATAGCAAATGTATGATAAAAAAGTAATTATCATTGTTGGAGATAAGGTATTCGAACATTCTTTCAATAAAATGATTTGCATTTTAAGAGTTTATTCTTGCATTTTCTGAACTATTTTGTATCAGATCACCATTTGGAATTACTATGCTGTGTCTAGTTGCACAAACTTTCAAGTACATACAGTACGTACGTACGTACTATATATGAGTTCTTTGTTCAAATTGATCGATATGGCTTCAGCACCACCAGCACTCTGTTTTAACGAAATATTCAAATATCTACGTGGTGATATTTCTTCGCTACATTCTTGTGCTCTGGTAAACCATCACTGGTCGGAGCACGCCATTCCGGAACTATGGCGCGATCCATTCGTTGTCACTAAATTTAAAAGTCGTCGTACCAATCTTATTTATTCGCTATTACCTTTTCTTGATCATAATGCCAAACATCAATTCGCTCCATCTGCTCTTTATCGATCCCCCTGCTATCACTACTTGTCTTATATGAGAAATTTTAGCTTCTCAGGACTTATCAAGATTAGCAAGGGCATTGCACGTGAAGTAGTACCCGAAAATTACAAGAAAAGCGTCTTTAAAAAACCTATCGACACAAAATTTGTCAAAGTACTTTGTCGTGCAATTGTCAGCTGCTGTCATAATCTTGAGAGTCTCGATAATGATTTAACTGCTCCTTTCTTTCAGAATCGTTTCCATATCAATCAACAGCAATTAACTGCATCGCAATGGAACTTTTTTATGTTTCCAGGAGCGAAGACTTCATTTAGTCGCTTGCGATGTTTGTATGTCGATAATCTTAATGCTAATTCAATCATAAATTCCGCTGTTACTGTTGTTCCTGAACTTAAGGAAATTACCATTCGCATGTACACTAAGAACTTCAAGAATAGGCTCACTACTATGACCTATTCTGATGAATTGCTTCCAAAGTCTTCATTATACATGCTTAACTCATTTCCTAAATTGGAACGTTTTAACATTGTCGAAGGCCAGCGGACAAAATGGAGATCATTTAACGCCAGCTCATTTCTTATTTTTATTGGTCATAAACTTCCCAAAACAGTCAAGCATTTTTGCTTCGACATCAATTGCGAATTTTCTACCAATGCTCTTAAAGAATTTCTTGATAATACAGCAAGTCATTTAACCTCTTTATCATTTGCCAGATCCAAAAAATTTTCTCGTGATCATCTTGATGTTATCTGTAAACACAAAGATATTCATATCGAAATGTTAGACATATCAAGTTCAAAAATAACAGATAAGTCCATTTTAGACCTGGCAACAGCACAGATTTCGACGGTTCGTTTTGATTCCACCATGAAAGGACATGCTCCTGATACGGATGATAAATTTCAAGATCTTGATGATCCATACTTCAGGCGCAATTGGAGTGACTATTATAATGATGCGCGTGATAGTAGCGATTTTGAAAATGATACTGATCTTGACAATAGTGATTTTGAATTGAATAATAATAGATATGTTTTGCTGTGGGGTTTCTTAGATTATGATGATGGTTATGATGATTGGTTTTCTGACTGAGCGTTTTTTCTTTTCTGAGCTGAGAGGTAGACAGTTCGGTTGTCTAGTATTTTCTACTTTCAAGATATATGAGATATTATTCATTTAATAAATACTCATTTCAGGAAAAAAAATTTCAGAACTTAAAAGATTCTTTTGAATTTAATCTATGGAATGACGCATAAAACAAAAAAAAGAAATAAATGCAAGAATATTTGCTATTATTATTATGGTTGAATCCGAGTAAATCAGAGCAGTACATTAAATACTATATATCGAAATATTGCAGCCAATTCCATTTTTTTAAATAAATAATAAAATCTATAAATTGTGGATATTAAGTTATTAAAAATATAGCATGTAGTGTTTATAATCCCGGAATGCAAGGGTCAACATTTTCATCACTTTATAAGTTGCTTAGCAAGCTAACTATTGTTTGTAAATAATTATTGTAAACATATATTAATGATATATAATTAGAATGCGAATATACTATTTTTCTTTTGCAAGAATTTTGTGCCAGGTTTTGTCGATCATCCGACCTAGAATGATCGACATCGGCCCGCGCTAGAACCCCAGCATCACCAATCTAAAGAATTTTACTATTAGTGTCAAGCTTTTGATATATTTTTTCTTCTAATTTGATTTAATACATAGCAAAATTTTTTAGTTGTGATGATATGATACAGTAATTATTTTTCACAGTGCGGACTGTGCGCAGCATACAAGAACAAATTTTGCGCACATTTTTTAAACATTTTGTAAATAGTGCACACAGTTCCAAACTTTATAGTTTTTTTTGTTTGTCGCACAGAAAATTGTTCCAAATTGAGCGATATTCGCACGGTAAAACATTAATACTGATAGGGTGATTAAATATTAGCACATTATTAGTTAATTATATAAAATTTTTAAAATGTGAAGCAAAAGCACCAAAAGCTAAAGTCGCTATGATAATATATATGTTTTTTTTTTTTTTTTTTTTTGGAATTCAATGTATTGAACGCTATTTGAAGCACCTTCAAATAATTGTAATTGAGAACTACCCATTATTAAACACACATTCTAATATGTTTAAAAAAACCAACAGTTAAACAGGTTTTAATGAGTTAAAATATCGCAATAACACGTTTGGTTGCAATTAAAAAAACATGCAGTTATGAATAGCAAAAAATTATTTTTCTTGAAAACATAATGACTTCGTTATATAAAAACATTGATAACTTAAATCATATTTCTGAAATTTTTGGGTATCTGCTTTCATAATATCGCTCTTGAAAATCTAGATAAAATGACTTCGAAATTTCATCTCAACAGGTATAAATATCACATCCGATAATAGTTGTGATATAAATGCATATGACTTTTGCAGGAGGTATTTTTACTAAATTAAGGTAAAAATAAGTATTAAAATTAGATAAAAAGTGGTATTGCTAAAAGCTCTTTGCAAGTAGTCTGTCTGGTAATAAGATTATGATGATACATTATTATTTAAGTGTTTTATCAAAAATTTGCAGGCAAATTTGTCTGCAAATTCTTTAAAGGGATAATGCTTTTATATTTTATAAAATGTTGTCGTAGGTTTTATTTTTAATAGATGTTCTGTTTTTAAAACTTTAAACCAAGATATCTTGAAATTTGATGAAATTTTTTTATTTGAATTCTACGAATTCATAGAATTTAAATAAAAAAATTTTCATCAAGTTGGTTGAGATATTTTTGCTCAAAGTTTTAAGAATTGACGCAGCTTGTATTTGATAAGACATGCAGATTTCTTTAAAAACTTTAAACAAAGACATCCGATGAATGATTTTATTTGAATTCACGAATCCGTAGAATTCAAATATTTTTTTTTAATCAAATTTGGTTAAATATTTGTTGAGATAGTTTCATTCAAGTTTTTTTTATGGGTTTGAACTCCTAACCTGCCAATATACTACTTGGAGATGTAACAACTTAACCACTTCACTAAGTTACCACACTCTTAAAAAAGAAAAAAAAATTTACTATATGAAATGGAATATTAAATACTTTTTTATGTTACATATTTGTTATTTCAAATAAAAATTGTGCTACCTTATTGTATGCTTTGAATTTTAGAAAATAGTGTATCATATAATAATTTTAGAAATTTTCATTGTTATATATAATTGTTTTACAAATATTTCTTTAAAAAAATATATTTATATAATTCTGTGTTATACTAATCTTAGGTGTCTAAAATGATCATTTTAAATTAAAAAAATTAGCCTGCCAAAATAACTATAATTTTATAAAGTTATTAATCATAACCACTGCTGTTATACAAATATATAATCAATTAATTTAATTTATAAAAGTTAATATAAGGCCATACAAAATTAATTTTTTGTTTTTCATAACATTAAATTTAAAAAGTGACCTGGCTAGCCAGCTTTTTTTTTAAAATTTTATATATAAAATTTTATAAAATTTTTAAAAAAAATTTTTGAAACTTCACCTAGTTATTAAAATATATAAAAAAAGTTTCTTCAAAAGTTTACAAAATTTGACCTGGCCAGGTTATAAGAAACAACTAATTAAATTTATATAGCCTAATAGTTAAAATAAAATTTTATATCTAAGTTTATTAATAAAAGACTAGCAATACCTGTCTGAAAATTTCACACATCATGTGATCTTATTTAAAACCAATAAAAAATTTTTTATTAAAAAAAGAGTTTGCGATTAGTTTAGGATTAGGGTCTTGCTAGTAGGTTGTAGGTTGGGTTAGAGGGTTATAGCTATACCAAAATTTTGCAAAAAAACTTTTTGTTAATATGCAAAAAGCAATTTCATAATCTAAATTTTGAGTTAAGAGTGATTTTTGACAAAATGAACATTTGTTTTGAATTTTCCTGATCATGTAACATTACACCTAATCTTGAAATTTGATTGATTGTTTCTGATTTGCAAAATTTTTTTGACTGGCATTTTAAGGGTTATTGTTTATTAACAAACTAGAATATAAATTGTATTTAGCAAAAACATATGTGAAAACAATATTTTATTTAGATTTTTTATAAAGAAAATATTTAATTTCTACTACAGGTGATTATCACCTGTGATTTTCAATACATAATGAAAACAACAAAATAATTTTTGTTAAAGCAAAAAGTAATATTTTTTATAGTTAGGATTAGAGTAAGGTTTGAGATAAAGTAAGAGTGTTGCTTATAGTAAAATTTTGCAAAGAATTTTTTTTGTTAGAGCTTCAAAAGGGGTTTTATAAGCAGAATTTTGAAATAAAAATGATACAGGTGATGTTTACTTGAGTTATTCAATTAAACCCTCTGATCAACTTAGCACTATTAGATATTCTCTTTAAAGAGGAACTGCTGCTAAGGCCTCTTAGGACTATTTTATCTTTATAGTAGATCTACTAGAGCGGTCTATGTCCCACACATATATCATCTAGATTTTTGATAACTTATGCCTAGGCCATGATCAAGTACTTGCAGCTTTTTACCTCCGCTACCTTTATCTACTCTGTGCTCTTGCAAAGTTTACCCAAACCCCAGCACCCACTTTATAAACTATTAACAGTACTTCGATGCCAACTGTCGATGCTCTAAACTTTCAATTCAGATGGCCTGGGAGGAACTAGTGGACATTTCCCGGTATTCTGAATGAATTCTTTTTTCTTCAGCTAGTCTGGCGGCCTGGTTGGTGTAATGCTTGCCAAACACCCAGTTCTCATTCAGTTTGCCTTTGGTGTCCGGTTTCCCAAATGATAATCCTTTATGTAGTATCGTCAAAGATCTGTGCTACCTCTCTACTCAGGACTTTCCAAGCAGGTTTCCTTATTCTCTAATCTCTTGGATTTATTTGGCTGCTTCATTCGGGTTTCATATAACTCATGCATTACACTATATTCTACAACCTTCCAATATGAGTTTGTGAGACCAAAGTCACAGGTGCTTACCCAATCGATATGTTATACAGTTTTACCATAACGTATTTCTGCAAATTCGAA